AAATGATAGTAGTAATGAAAGAAGTGTTATTTTTTAAAAGATAACAAAATTATAATAACAATAACAACAGCTAATTAATTATTCATAAACTGTATCCCGTAACCTTAAAAGCAGGCCAACTTCTGCCATGAAGAAATGGTTGCTAGTATCACTGCTCCTGCTGTTAGTGCTTGTCCCTAATGTCATAGCAGCATTCTCTAATCCTACAAGAAATGGCGATGAGGTTACCCTTCCTCCTTGCAGTTTTCCTAATGGTATATATTATCAAAATGGTCCCAACCCTGGCACACCCGTGGCTCCAGTTAACCAAAACTATACCCTGACCCTTGACAGATCTACTGAGGGTCGATATACGTGTGGTCCCAATGGTTCTGGTGGACAAATAACACTCCACCGTAAGTCAGTCACAAGCAGGTTTTATGTATACTAGGCTTATAATACTTTATCATCATTTTAGGTCAATTTAAAGAAAACAATACTTTAGTACCTAAAACCTTTACTTGGGGACAACCTCAGGTTCTTGACTGTACTGGCTATGTACCTGGAAACTTTCACAGTGGCTATAAAGTTACATGGTTGCTAGATGGCCGTCAACAATGTATTAAAAATTCTGCCTGTGAAGACAATAGCTTCAACATAAACCCCGATAACTTCAGTTTAAGTTTTGATTATTATCCAACTTTCACCACCTATGAATGTCAAATTGAACCAGATATGCCTGGGTCTTCAATGAATGTCACTGTAGCATCGTACACATTAAGTACTTCAAAAAATGATAGCAGTAAGTCTCATTAGTAACCTCAACAATTTTTTATTATTATGATTCTCTTCTTTTATAGCTCAAACTACATTTATTAAAAACCTAAAGCCAGTTCTAGTTGAGAATGGCACGAATAAAGTTGAATTCTCCTGCTCTGCTTCAGTACAAAGCAATGCCAGCATTAATTTTGAAGTATCTGACCTGTTTGGCAATGAGCCTATCAGCCCTGCTGACTGTGATGTAACCACTGTCAACCCAACCATTCGTTCGTGTAGTAAAACATTACATGGTATGAATGTCAGGATAATATGTGACTATTCTACCAGCTATGAGATCCATTGTACTTTCTCATGGAATTTAACAAACAGCAACGAAAGTAGAGTCTATCCAGTTGCTTGCCATGTCAATGATGGTACAACTGAGGCTAGTACAAGAACAGAACTCATTGTTGGAGGTAAGATGTAATAATCTTGATAATTTACAACTAACATTTACTAAGAATGTATTCCTACATGTATACTATAAGCTATAGTAGTTGCATGTACATGTACATTAGTATGTAGACTCTATGTACGCATGAGTAAATGACATGTATGTACATGTAATTACATGTAATTACATGTAATTAGTGGTAATGTTAAAAGTGAGTATGTGTATCTGTGTATAGTAAGGGAGTGAGTGAATCCCAACAAATCAATTTCTGTGAGCTAGGGGAATTTTTTGTACTACAAAGTCTCACTCTAATTCAATAATGAGAGAATCACAGGGAGGACAAGCAAAAGAGTGCTATCAGTATCAATTTGTATCTTGTGTTACATTCAAGACAGTATGGTTTCCTAGGGCTTTTTACAACTGAAGTTATTACAAGAACACAACTCATTCTCAGAGGTAAGATCTAATAATCACGATAATTTAGAACTAACATGTATCCCTACATGTGCATATTATTGTGTATAAACATTTCCCTTTTCTTCTTTATCCTACAGATTCTTCATCAGTTGGATCTGTTTCTTCTTCACTCGAATCGGCTTCTTTTTCACTTGAATCATCAGTTATAGATTCTTCTTCGCTTGATTCATCAGTTACAAATCCACCCTCAACTGAAACTCCTCAGTTATTATCTTCAACGCTAACAATTGTAGCTCCTGTTGTATTGGTGCTAGTACTCTGTGTTTGTATTATCATAGTATTTGTGATTGTGATAATTGTTAGGAGGAACAGAAAGAAGAAACTTGTAGATTTGGACTTGCGTTGTGTTGGTAAGTGAAGTTGATAATCAGTTTAATATTTTTATGTAGACAATTTGTCCCCTTTAGACGACTCCAGAATTTCTCTAGATTTGAATTCAGCTTGTCAAAGTAAAG